GTCTTTGGATTTTAGACGCGTCCGCACTGTAGTATAATTTTTACACGAATGAGACGCCGTCAGTGTTGCCAGTCACCGGACTGTGGGCCATTGCTGTTTTATGTTAACGTATTTGGCGAATGGCATGCATTGTTATCGGTCTTTCTTTGTATTGTGATATCGATACATTAGAGGAAATCTCTATTGTTGTACCTTTTGCTCGTTTCCACCGATACCAAAACAATATTAGTTGATAGATTAATCTACTTTTGTTAATTTTAAACAAATCTCTCACTATGAGTTCGGGTGCTGTTCGAACGCCCGTATCGCAAATAATCCACAATAAGGATGATCAAGATGTTGAGGACGAGCCCAAAAAGAAGTCACGCGAAGATTGGCGCAAGGCCAAGGAGCTGGAAGAGGCCCGAAAAGCGGGTACTGCACCGGCCGCCGTTGACGAGGAAGGTCGTGACATAAATCCACACATTCCGCAATACATTTCTAATGCGCCTTGGTACTACGGCTCCCAGGGGCCAACATTAAAGCATCAGCGGCCACAGCACGAGGATGAACGTGGTCACTTGGACAATAGGGCTCCCAAAGGCCTGGACACGACAAAACTGGTTACCAAGTTTCGTAAGGGCGCCTGTGAAAATTGTGGCGCCATGACCCATAAGAAAAAGGATTGCTTGGAAAGGCCGCGCAAGGTCCAGGCCAAGTACGCCGAATCGATTGTGGTGCACGACGAGCACATTGTGAACGATGCGTCGATTAACTATGATGAAAAGCGGGATCGATGGAGCTCCTACGATCCATCGAACCATCGCGAAATCATCGAGGAGTATGAAAAAGTAGAGGAAGCAAAGCGCCAACTTAAAGCGGAGAAATTAAAGAACGGTAAGCCGTCTCTGCCTACAAGCAGCTGTTTCTTTTAGTAATCTCAACATTTCATAGATCCTGATGCTGAAATCTCCGATGAGGAGGGTAACGAGGACAAATACGTGGACGAGGTGGACATGCCGGGCACAAAAGTCGATTCAAAACAGCGTATTACCGTGCGTAACTTACGCATACGTGAGGATACAGCGAAATATTTGCGCAATTTGGATCCCAATTCAGCTTACTATGATCCTAAGACGCGATCTATGCGCGACAATCCCAATCCAGCGGTCCCAGCGGAAGAGTAAGTTGAGTTATCGTTTCTTATTCAATTTAACTAACGATTTTTAATTTTCTAGAGCCGAGTTTGCGGGCGAGAACTTTGTACGTTTCTCTGGGGACACAACAGCGCAAGCTACTGCACAATTGTTCGCATGGGAGGCGCACGGCAAGGGCGTTGATGTTCATTTGCTTGCCGAGCCCACAAAGCTGGAGCTGCTGCAGAAGGAGTACGAACAGAAAAAGGAACAGTTCAAGTCAAGTGTAGGTTAATGAAAAACTAATTATTCTAAACAGCATTAACACGGTTTTCCTTGCAGACCAAAACAGACATTGTGGAAAAGTACGGAGGCGAGGAGCACTTGCAGGTGCCGCCCAAATCGTTATTGCTTGCTCAAACCGAGGAATATGTCGAGTACTCGCGCAGTGGCAAGGTTATCAAAGGCATCGAGAAGCCTAAGGCACGCAGCATATACGAGGAGGATGTGTACATAAACAATCACACAACCATATGGGGCAGCTTTTGGAATGCCGGTCGTTGGGGCTACAAATGCTGCAAATCCTTTATTAAGAACTCTTACTGTGTGGGCATGCAGGAGCCGGAAGGCTATTCCGAGCAACAGCTGCAGCATGCGACAACATCAAGTGCACCACCAGTCGCCGCTCCAATTGTAGATGCTGTGCCAAGAATACAGACGGAAGTATCAGAAAATGAGGCAGCAGCCTCCGAAGTGAATTCTGCACCTAGTTCGGAAGACTCCTCCGAAAGTGAAGAGGAAGTAAAGGAAAGCAAAAAATCAAAGAAGTCAAAAAAGCGCGAAAAGAAAAGAAAAGCCAAGGAGCAGCGAAAAAACAAAGAGAAACACAAAGAAATTAAGGAAAAGGAGACGCATGCAGTCCGATCCAAGAACCAGCCTGATGAAATCGATGATAGAAAGCGGCCATACAATAGCATGTACGATGTTAAGGCGCCTACCGAGGAGGAAATCGAGGAATGGAAGAAGAAACGCACGCGCACCGACGACCCCATGCTGCAATTTTTATAAACAATTGTATATACCTAAATATATTAAACAACTTGACATGTCCATTGCTTATTTTTATTCCTCAGACAATGGCATACTGCTCGTAGAGCAGTTCGCGTATCTTGTAGTAGTCCTCCGATAAGCAGCCTTCCATGGCCACCTTGCCGGCATCAACGCGCCGCAGCGCCAGTGTACCATTGGAGCACCAGAGGACGCCGCCAGAAAATTCGGAGTTAATGTTGTTGCGCATAAGCACCTGTTTGAAGTCGGACAGTTTCAGTTCGTTGATCAGCACCGAGTTGTGCACGGGAATTTCATCTTCTTCGAGTGTTTCTAATGTAAGTGTTTTGCCCTCCTGCGCCGCCACGTCCTGCTCCACGGTGACTTCCGATTGATTTGGTGCATCGATCGCCTGTAGGCGCATACCAAGGCGACCATCAATCCAGGCCACCTCCGCATCTTTGCCCTTCTGGAATTGCAGCTGAGAAACGAGACCCTCGGTCAGGCGCACCTGATAGATGTGAATCTCTGTCGTCACATCGATTATTTCTCCTTTTTGCGGCGCAAAGACGCGAGCGCCAACATTCTGCTCACAGTGCTTGGCCACCACCTGGGTGCCCTCGGCTGTGCCGTGTACCACGATGACGCGCCGCGGCCTCAGCTGTGAGAGAATCTTAAGCATTGATTCGCCATCAGAGCGACCTTCAAAATCGATGCGTTGGATTTGTGCGTTGACTTCAATGGTTTTGCGTTGACTGATCAACTTGGTGGGTTTCTCCAACATTTGCACATCATTGTCCAGGTTGCCATTGCTCTGCTGCTCCACATGTGGCTCCTCCTTTTTAACGTTCTCCTTATTTTGCTCGTCCATGGGCGCGTAGTCGTAGCCGGCGTCCACAATGCGGTAGTCATCCAGATTAATGACTTCACCATAATCGTCATACTTAATCTTTTCTTCGTGGTAGGGAAACATTACATGATGGCGTTTGTTTGACTTGAAGAAGCCGGAATGATGACGGCCCTCGGCCCGAACCACAATATCATGTTTGCCCGTAATCACGCTCATTTCAATATCATCCTCGGATTCAGAGCTACTCTCCTCCTCAACTTCTGGCTTAACAATGAGCGGATTAAGTTTCTCGCCTTGAGTGCGCAGATATTCCTCGAGCTCTGCTCCCTCCAGCTCAACGCGTCGCCGCACATCCAACTCGATCTGCCTGCCTGGCGTTGAATTTTCCACCAGCTCCATGCTCAGCGAACCAGGACCGGTGCGCGTTGTGAAAATAATGCTATTATTTGGATTGCTAGCCCATTGCACAAATAGATCGCGGGTGAAGCCACTCTCCATATCCGGTGTGCTGGCAAGCACCACCTTGGGACCTGCAGGCAGCTTGTAGATGTCGGCGAGCGTGTGGCAGAGATGGATGTGCTTGAACTGAAAGGGATTGTTACGCGCACCCTCAAAGGCCTTGGTCAGCTTGTCGCTCATCCATTCGATTTGTGACTTAGCAAATTCTATTACATTGTAGCTGACGTTGTTGAGCAGCGCCAATGAATAGGCCATTAAACCAGATTCCTTGTTCTTCCACAGCTGGTCAAGCATGTGCGCCAGCTCCAGGACGCGACCTGCCGTATCCACAGCGATAAGTACATTGCCATTGTTTCGCACGGTTTGCAGAATGTTGGTCATCAGTTTTTCATCGCGCGCACGCCTTCGGGCCTGTTGATACTGTGCATTGTACGCGTCGGTTATCAGCAGAGATGGTCGCTGCAGTCTGTCCAGCTCACAGCCACTGAGATGCCGTTCCTTCTTATGATTGAAATCAATGGCATAAATAATATCCTCCTCGCCAACTTTGACGATCTTCCAAATAGTGCCGCCAATCATGTGACCTGCGCTTAGCGGTGTTATGGATATGCCGTAGCCTTTTCCTTTCAAGGAGACCGTTTGATTGTACTTTAATTGCGTGATCTTTTCAAAGGCTGTGTCCACATCATCCAATGAAAACAGATCGAAATCGTACATGTTAAAATGCGACATATACAAATCGTACATAAACATTTGGCCCATTTTGAAGACAGGTATTGTCGCGTAGATGGGACAGTTGAGGCCCAACTTGCCAACCAGATACGGAAGCGCTCCGAGATGATATGCATCTGGATGAGACAGCAGAACAGCGTCCAGGGTATGCACTTGCCTATAACAAGCTCTGTTAAGTATTTGTCATTTATCTAAATTAGTTTCTTACCTTTTTAATTCCTTTATAAAATTCGGATCGAATTTCTCGTCCCAGCCGCAATCTAGCAATATTCGCACATCGTCTATTTGTAAAATATAGCACGGCGGTGACTCGTCCATGGCACCAGAAATGGTGTGCAGTTTAATAATTGAAGTCATTTTGCAAGTGCTTGCTATTCGCGTTTATCAAAAAGCATTTGTTATAAATAATAGGGAATTGTATCTCAGCCGGTCGTTCGATACTTAATACCGCAAGTTCGATAGATCTATCGATAAAGGTATTTTCGCTTTGGACACATTTTTTGCGCCATTATTACATACCAAAACATGACAAATTTTTATAATTTAGCACTAAAAATGGCGTGATTCGTAACATACAGAATAGGACGAACAGTAACGGAAGAATACAAAAAATAATGTACCTTGGGCAATGTAGAAACTTATTTAAAAGAGTTATAATTTGTATCAGTTTTCCCCTTTTCGATTATAATGTCATTCCTTAAATAAAAAGAGTATGTTTAACTGTTTCCGATAATACAGAAAAATCTTTTATTATCTTTAAGTTGATTTACACAGGTATATGAAAAACTATTTGGTAATTGCAGTGCAGTCTTTCACTCGATACATTATCGTTAACTTTATTTAATCAAGACAATGCTTCCGCGGTATGTGTGTCGCGAAAAGTCATGTCAATATCATCGAACTCCTGAAGCCGGCGATGATTGGAACGTCTCAATTGCATACGGCGGTAAGCAGCACGAGTCCGGCTAATCGGACGGAGTGCAACGAAACAGTAAAGTACCAGGGTCACAACAATTACCCCAAATAAAACCAGCAGAATGGCGACAGCCAGGTGTTCGCTCTTTGCTGGCAGGCGATTGTGGATGATAACAGTCTTATTTGCCGGCTCACGGACACAATAATCCCAGTCGGTATTGTCAAGGTCGCTAGGAGACCAGTCGGGATTCAGATGATACCCCTGCCAGCAGATGCAACCGAAATTGTCGACAACCTTTGTGCATATGGAGTGATCCGGGCATTCTCCTTGTATCGTACAGTTCTTAACTAGTATAAGCGGGCTAATATAAAAATATTTGTCACCGATTAACAAGTTTTTTGTCTTACTGACGTCGCAGTAGATGCCCTTCTTCAGCACTCAATCCAAGAAGGTATACACAGTATACAGCTATGTAAACAGAACATTTAAATGCGGTGCACATTCTGTTAATAAAATAGACATAAGTGTTCACAGCTATACGTCCGATGAGTAACTGCCAGCAGCTGAAAATGCATATCTTATCGACCACTGCGTTATCAAACGAAATGGGTATGTGTTTATAAGTTTTAAGATGTTAAAATAATTTAGCGAGTCCAGTTTTCGTTCAGTATGTAAATAAATTGCATTAATTCGTATTTGCTTATTTACACCACTTTTGACAAATACATAAAAAGTAATTAATAATTCCCGTGTGTAACTCTTTCGTTTTAGGTCAAACACACAGAAACATACGTAAAATCAATTCGAAATCTGCTTTCAGGTCGTATAAGAATCTAAGCAAACCGAAAGTCCTCACATAAAAACTTATTAAATTAAAAATTTAAAGTGTTGGAAAACGAAAATATTTGGTGGCGAGCATTGAACTCTGAAAACAGTGAGAAAGCAGAATCTAACCGCGGTTAGCGATCGTTTATGTTAAGGAACAGCTGATCTCTGGTTGTGCTCCCACTTTATGGGTGTGAATTATCAAATGTTAAATCTTATTTGAGACACTTTCGCTTTTTAGCTTCCAATCTATAAAATAATCAATTAAAATTTTGTATTTCCAGAAAACGGTTATAAATGTTAAGAAACATATCTGAATATTTAAAAACTTAACAGCTAACTGAAATTTTTTGTGGAAGAAATAAGTTGCCGCTGTTAATAACAGTTTGCCAAGCCATGTTATGTTAATGCCAGCATTAATTTGTTTCTGTTTAATTGCCGTGCTGGCCTGCTGTATACTGTTCCTGTTTTTCGTGTTTTCTCATGTAAATAGTACAACTATGTACCGTAGCATTCAACTACCGTTAATAGTATAACAGTGAATAATGATAATAAGGCTGTGCCAGCACAGTTTTCATATATACGACTTGCTTCTATTCAGCGGCGCTCTAACCATCCTCGTCTACATTCTACTGCCTCATCGATTCGCCCTGCGCTATGACTACATCGATAAGGAGCACATTGAGGAGGCTCTTCTTTCGGCAACCATTTCGAATATCTCATCACAGCAGGCAATCGATTGCAGCTACAAGGAGGTGCTAGCTGAAAGCACATTTGTCTACGATGCATCGCATCGTGCGGCTATTCTGCGCGGGGAGGAAATACGTCTTGGCGGTGAATACCAGCCGGATGAATGCCGTGCACGATTCAGTACTGCCATTATTGTGCCGTATCGGGATCGGCAGGAGCAGCTGGTCGCATTTCTCAACTATATGCACAACTATCTGCGCCTGCAGCAAATCCATTATCGAATTTTTGTGGTAGAGCAAAGCGATCGGAAACCTTTTAATCGGGCCATGCTCTTCAACATAGGCGCCAAAGTGGCAGAAAGTTATGGTTATCCTTGCTTAATACTGCACGATGTAGACTTAATGCCATTGAACTCTGGTCAGATTTACGCATGCACAGTTCTGCCAAGGCATATGAGCTCAGCGCTGGACAGCTGGCGCTTTCATCTGCCATACCGCACACTATTTGGTGGCGTTGTGGCGATTAGTACCTCGCAGTTTAAAATGATAAACGGCATGTCGAATCTGTACCATGGTTGGGGCGGCGAGGACGACGATTTGTACGAGCGCCTCAAAGTCGTGGGCATTGAGATCTGCCGCTTTGATCCGGCGTACAGTGAGTACACAATGCTAAAGCACAAACACGCTATACCAAATGAAAATCGAATGGCATTGCTGCGATCCGCTTCACTGCGTATGCACACCGACGGCCTCAGCTCGCTTGTCTACCAGGAAGTCGAACGCAGAATGCATAGTCTCTTCACGCACATCCTAGTCGAGACCTAGACGCAACTATTCACGTCTTCAGCTTTGTCATGCTAAACTGTTACTTAGCTTCTAGTTGTAGGAATCTCTGTGAGCCCAGTACGGCAAATGAATGTATTAATGTAAAAAAGAGCGCTTTGTTATAGTGTACTACATAATTTAACTTGTTGTAGAGTCATATTACGTAAAGTATAGAGAGAGAATACAAATAAATAACAATAAATTATAGTTGACTGTTTTTAATTGATAATAAGTATATTTTAACTAGCTTGTGTACACTGAGATACACTAAGGAGCAAATTGCACAATACACATCTAGATGTACTCTATATATAATAGGTTGCTTGACTGTTTGCCTAGACTAACAATAAATTATGCACATTCACTTTTTAAATTGATATTTGTTGAATGATACAACGAGCAAAACTTCAAAACTGCTTAAAAACACTAACTCACAAAATCACACGCACATACACAGACATACAATTGCACATACACTCATTTATAATTTAAATATATATAGTTCGGAATAGTTATTTAAAACATTGGCTATTTGGCAGACATGCTCGGTAGGCTGTCGCTGGAATGATGTGTCTAGTTCAAGAAGTTAAGTATGTCTTGTTGAGACAACGTGTTAAGATTCTTGCTATCCGGGGACTGGGTCATCTGTGGCATCAGCGTGGGCGTGGGCGTGGCCGTGCCAGCTGCACCCAGGATCATTGGCTTGTTTAGTCCGATGCTCGGCTGCATGCTGTTCATGCTGTTTGCTGCATTGTAGCCGGTTGGATATATGTAGTTAACCGTGGGTTGCTGCAGCGTATACATATTGGCACCATTTGCATTATTGGGCTTGGCAATCTGGCTGGCGGCACCAGCAGAACCAAATGGATCTAAGTCGTCCAGCGAGGAGAAATTGTTGTTGCTGCTGCCCTGCGGTGAGGCTAGCTGATGATTCATGACCAGCGGATTTGCGCTATGCCAATTGTTGCTATTGTTGCCGCTGGTATTGTAGGGCATGGCGAGCTGAGGAACAGCTGCTGCTGGCGTGCTCTGGACAGTGCTTAGGGTGCTCAGGTTGCTTTGCATTAATGAAAACATGTCCGTTTTGGATGTTGTCTCTGTCGTTGTATTGTGCGTTATTCTGAAAATATAAGATTTAGACTTAATTTTCTCGGTATTCAGCGCTGATTGCATCATCTACTTGAGCTGCTCCCTTGTTTTGACAGGCGCCAGTGCTGAAATTGTAGGTTTTGGCGTCGGAGCGCTCGCTGGCTGACCCACGCTGAAGCCGGAGAACATATCATCGTCGCTCTTATTGCCATTGCTAGCACCAAAGCTGCTTGAGGGTGAGAGCGTAGCATTGTCCAACTCATTGGCCAGTATCTCGGAAGCATCCTTGGGTCTATATGAGGTTGTATTGTTTAGAATGATATGTTGTACTCGAGAATTTAAACCTTACTTGTTGTCCCGCTGTATTGTAGACAATTGCTGGAGCTTTTCTCGTTGCTCCTGTTCCACTCTACCCAGCATTTCTTTGATTAGCGCTACGATGGTATTGAATTGCGCTATGGTCAGTCCATTTTCTACGCTCAGCGGCACCAGGAACGGTATGCATTTGTGCGCCATTACATCCTTTGTGATACCCAGCTTTGTGTTCGTCATGGCGATTTTATAAATGCCTGCAAAGAAGTTCATAATAATAATAATATGGAAAAATATTGGTAAATTTAGACAACACCTATTATAGCCATTACAATTGCAGGCTCGCGGCTCTGTATCTGCTGCAAAAATGGGAGAATCTCGTCTAGCACCAGCCACTTGTCCAGGTTCTCCAGTAACTTGCCAATCGATATAAGACAGTTAACCTTAACCGAAACATTGTTGCTAAGCAGACAGAGTTTTTTAATACGCGGTATGACTGCGTTCTTCATGGCATTATAATCGATGAGAGTGGAAAAGGTAGGGAGCACGCCCAGGCAGAGCTCCTGTATTTGCGGCATGTCACACTCCAGTGAACGGTAGAGCAGGGGCAGCACACTCTGCTTCACTTCCTCTGCAGGCGTTAGCTTGAGAAGCAAATCCATTTTTTGCATAAATATTAGAAGGATCTGTATGGGATCCGTCAGCCTGAAAATGGGCTTCAAGTGTGGCAGTATGTGATCGCAGTATTCGCGTTGGCTGCTCATTTCGGCAATCAGTAGCACATTGGGCAACACAAATGGAATCATAGGCGAGTTGACGAACTCCTTAATCAGATAGGGCAATATCGAGTGTAAATTCACGCGATGCGGCAGCGTAGGTATTATCTGCGGCAGACCCTTGTAGAACTTCGATTTCTGCAGATTGTCCCACTGATAAAGTGAATCCAAATAACTGAGAGTCTTGACGCCCACGTCCTGGAAGTAAGCAATCGATTTCAGTTCGTGCAACTTCGGCCGCAAACTGGCGCTGGGATGCAGTAGGGCTTTAAGACTTTCGGTTAGCTCGCTCGGTATTGTGTTCATGGGCGGGTACTTGCGCTGATTCAACTCGTTGGCGTAACGCCGAAAGCCACTGTAATCGCTTCCAAACATTTTCAGCGGTTTGCCCGAGTAAATTGTGAAGATGAGCACACCTAAAGTTGTAATTGTACAGTCATTGATATTGATAAGAATCAGTAAAGAGCGCTTACCCAGCGAGAAAAGGTCACTGTCCGGCGTGTTAACACTGTTTAAAACCAGCTCCGGCGCTGTATACTCTAAGCTTGGCTGCGCCAGCACATGCAGGGATGTGCTGTACTCCCTACATGGCCAGTGAGGAGTGCCATTTGTTGAGGGCTGATTGGCTATGCAGAAATCGAAGCCAAACAGTTTCCAGCTGCGGTTCTTGTTGATCACAATCGTTTCGGCGCTTATGTTGCGATGCACTATCTTGGCATCGTTGTGCAGGAATTGCAGGCCATCAAACAGCTGGAGCAGCCCGTGGCGAATTTCAACATCGTAAAGCTTCTTTTCCGAACGCACCGCGTCTCCAACCACATTGGCGAGCGATGCAAAAACTGGCTCCGTGGCAAAGGCCAGAGAATCGCGACTCTCTTCCAGCGGATGCTGGACGGTTAGGACATGTGGGTGTCGTATTTTTGTTAGTTGCTGAACGCCCCGGCGCAACGTCTCCAACATTGTTTCCCGGTCGTCTTTTGACCAGCGTTCCAGTACCTTTTTCTCGAACACAAAGACCGAGACTTCCTGCTTGGTGCTTTTCTTGTGGCCATTGTAAACCTTCCACATGAGTCCTAAATATTTAAAATGTTTGTGTACTGGTTAGCTGGATGCGCATATGTCAGTAAATATTTCCTGCTCTTACCCACACCCGCTGTGCAAATCTGGTCCAATACTTCGTATTCCCGTGTTACATTATTGCCAGGCAGCACACCCGAAAGCTGCGAGACCGTATGTACGGCGGACGAGTAGAATTTGTTGATGACATCCATGCTTGCTGCTTTTAATGATTACTATAAAATTGTTAAGCAGCTTTGCAGCAATACCAAATGTTTTTGCCAAATTCTTTTTGTTTTAGTAATCAATAGAGTCAGTTCTGCTGTGAACTAGTTCAATCGTACTCTTCGATAAATGCATGCTGCTATCGGCCGTTTAATGCGATTTATCGAACTACTGCAATTAACCGTTCTTCTCCGTTCTCGCGCGCCTTTCAAATATATATAAATAGGAATTTTATATTTACGTTATTAAACTGAGCATTCCGTGCAAAAAAAAAAACTAAAAATTTGTGTAGAGCAACAACAAAGGTTTTTATATTATGCATAATGCAAATAGATATGATTTCCAGTTTAAATTAAAAAGCTGCGTTAGTCGCGCTTGAATAGGCATAAACGATTTTTAATGAGCGTATCAATATATAATTACACTGAAAAGTAATAGAACGATTAGCTGAACAATTTGAAAAGCCGTATCTGAAAATTAAATATTATCCAAGCACAATTTAAAAATTCTCCACAAATGTAAAGTACACATTGGTAATGAATTGAGTTCTTCCATAAAATTTCCATTTCATTAGTATAACATATTCTCCAGTTGGCATTATAACGGGTAGCCTATCAGCTATTGGATAAAAATTTTTTAAGTAGTTTATACCCTATAAAACAGAAATTTTTTATTATTTTATACATTCTAAAGGTAAAATTTAACTCACGTTATATGGACATGGATGATTAACTGATGTTAATTCTCCGATTAGAGCAAAGAGTAGATCGGCAAATTTATCTTTTGGTTTTCGCATGTGTCTACAAACATCAAATTCTCCGTTAACTATCCAAGGCTTGTAGCCGTTGGCTCTTTTGTTAACTTCATATTCTATTTTCATAGAATTCGATGGATGCAGTATATTCACGAATACATTCAGGACGGTTTTGTTGCGCTGCAATGCTCGAAGCCGACAAGTGTCGATTAGCACCCAGGATTTGTTGTGGCTCTCGCAAACGGCGTTCGTCATCTTAAAGACGATCCCGCTCTGTAAATATATACAAAATTAGATATGCAACAGACCTTTTGTTTCGCACATTTAGTTTTATTATTAGCAGCAGTGGCAGCAATAGCCAAAACATATTCCATCTGCCCGCCATCGTGGTATTTTCAGCATGGAGTGCTCGTTACGACTGCATGATTTTCATCTTACTTGCACTCGTTTATTAATTTTATTTTAATCGAACATTAAATACATATTAAGCTACTTTCAATTATTCTGTAATTTAGCATAACTCTATGTGTTCAATAATACACATATAATATAAAATATCATTTTATTGGCATTACGTTTCGTTTAATTTTTATACTCACAATGTGAAAAAGTCCGTCTTTGCGCATGAATGCATTTTTTTCGAAGCTATTGAAATTTAGTATACATGCTCGTGTATATCTGTACAGATACATTTTTAATATTATATGGATTCACACACTGGGGGCAAGGCATAACAAAATTGGAATGAAGACTATTGATGATAAAGAAATGTTTCACCCACTTACCTTAGTGCTATTTCCGGCAACATTTAAAGTGTGCTGAATTTGTATACCCTGAACCTACTCAAAATGGGTAAAAAGGGTATTATGTATTTGTGCAAATGTAACAGGCAGAAGGAAGCATCTCCGACCCCATAAAGTATATATATTCTTGATCAGCATCAACAGCCGAGTCGATCTAGCCATGTCCGTCTGGCTGTCCGGCTGTCCGTCTGTCCGTCTGCCCGTCCGTCCGTATGTATGAACGCAAGGATCTTAGAACCTTTAAGACCTAGAGACTTGAAATTTGAGCTGTAGGTCCTCCTAGTGCCCGCGCAGATCTAGTTTGTTTCCGATATTCGATAACTCGCCTCGTTTCCAAGTAGTCGATAAAAATAGCAATTTTGGTAAATAATATGAGCTAGAGCTTCTAGAATAGTATATGTATATATATCAAGTATCTTTCATTTTATACCTATCGCCTGTTGGAAGAAGAGGGTTCAGGGTATCCCCTAGTCGGGAGCTCCCGACTGTAACGTCTTACTGGTTTAATATGGTTTGTTGGCATATCTTACAAATTTAAAGGAATCAACTGTAATAGAATGCCAAGCCTCTAGAGAGCTCGGGAAGACATTCAGATAAATTTCGAGGATTGTCTGTTTTTTGATGCACGGGCTTCAGCTGGTGACAGGTCATCACCAGGATTTGTTATAGGAATCAAAGCTTTATATATATTACTTTTAACCGGCCTGAGTCGTTACGTATTTAACTAAGCTCTGGGATTTTTACAAACGCTCGCTTATAATGAGATCTTGCTTTTGAATTAATAGGTAATAGGGTATTTTTTTTGTTACTTTTTATCTGTAAATACAAAATTTGTGTGAAAAAATTTGATATAATGCAAATAAACAGGCAAAAAACCATTTTGGGGATTAAAAGGGATTCGACAAATAATTTATTTATATATTTTTGCCTGCATGGCATTTTTATCTGGAATATATAAATGTGGTTATGCAATTTAAATGACTCAAACATTTTTCTATCAAGAACACCCTAAATTAATCGACTTTTTTTTAAATTTCGACAAATGAAAGTTAAACCTTTCTCGAATTAGTAGCTAACCCCTGTTGGATATGGGTTGAGAATTAAATCTCTATGTATATCTAAGCTCTTTGTAAATTAAAAAATTGGGAAATTGAAAGCCATTTTGATCTTATTTTCCTTAACTGTCGAAAACCCTTAGGGAGTCCTTCTTGAAGTCCTCCATGTAATTTTGAAGCCATTACTCTTTCTCAGAAACTAAATTCTTATTTAATTTTCTTGGCTTTTAACATTCAGATTTTTGTTCAACTCGACAAGATTTTGCGGGTTCTATATAGAAGGTTTGACGTCATTTTAAAATGTTCGACCTATCTTGATATGTATTTAATTTAATTCTACTGGTTTTCCAATGCAAATAGAAGTTTGTGAATCAATTTTTTTGAAGTACTTGATATGCATTAGTTGCGCTTCAGCAAATAGTCAATTTTTAATACATATTTTTTTATAAAATAATTTTTGGCTGTCAAACTGTCATTAAGTAAATTTTCATATACTATACATAGATCAATAACTTATAAATACTTTTCCAGAAATCTTAACTACAAATATTTTGCCTTCTTCCGCCACAAACATCAGGTTGCTTATATGTGTGTGTAGCTAAAAAAAAACCAAAGTATTGTTGTTTTCTCTGCCTCTGGGATAGTCGAACTTGTCACTAGCAGTACTCAAGGAGAAACTGGCCAAAACGGGAAGCACATACTTCGGGAAATAACCAAGTAAATGAACGTGAATGACATATTATTGCACATCAAGCTTGGACTGAGCAGAAACTTTGTAAAGGCATTGAATGCAGAAGCTAAAGAACTAAAGCATCTTACAACTTGTTTGCCACCTCTTTAAATGGCAATTATTGAGGAGGGCGTATTCGATGGCCCACAGACTTGAAAGCCATTAGGAAATAATGAGTTTTACCTTATTTTGACATTTGATCAAAAAGCAGCAACAACAAAAGCGCGTATTATATTGGAACTGACCACAATTTAAAAGAAAAAACAAAAATTATAAAAAATTTGAGCAAACATGTCACTAAAACTCATTTTTCTCCATTCCCCCTTAGATATTTTTCCACCTAGCTTCGGTGACCTCGGCAATAAACACGGAGAACGATTTAACCAAAAAAAAAAAAAACAAATAGTTCGACATCTATTGGGTTCGGGAAAAGAGAACATGAAGGGGATGTGCGATATGTGAGGGTCTCATACGAGCAGCTGATTCTAATAAATAAAATCAGAATTAGAAAAGGAAATGCCTGCGCTTGGTGCTTACTTATAATATTGGAATAGTATACACAGATCGAGAATATTTCATTGTTTCGATCTCCCGATTCACAGAAAATGCTATATTAAAGTTAATATTGTCAAATAACGCTTTAACTAACGTAATGATTTTAATTACTGTTATACACGTGTTTTCTTAAACGTTTTCATGTTCTAAGCTCTGTCCTTAAACAACGATTAAATAGATAAAACCACTCGATCGATTCCACTAATTTTGATGTTTAATATAAACAGCAGTAATTTATTAGAAAATACAATTTCAGGCATTAAATAGGTGCAGGGAATCACGCGCAATTTACTGAGGCGTAACTTATTGAGCTTTCGAATAATTCCGAAAAGTAGATTTATACCTTTAATGGTGTATAGCATAAAAAAAGTTGTATTTAATTTCTATCAGGTTAGATCGCTTTGATATTTAAAATATATCAAATATATAGAAGAAAAAAGAAAAGCCACCAAAATCGCCAGCCCGCGTCTATGTTTCACCCCAAGCCCGCCCTTGCAATCTACTATTTGCAGCCTATTACAAACGAAATTGTAGGGTATTTAATCCTTGGCGTCATGAATATAGACGTTCGCTTACTTTTATACCCATTTTGTTTATTAAGATATCTTGACTTAACATATATATGCTAAACCTTCTCAACATGCGACTACTATATAATATAGTTGCCTTTGCAAAGGGCAAATTACTACAAGGGTATTTAATCTTCGGCGTGCTGAAGATATCCTAACTTTCTGGTTTTGTTTGTCTTAGTTTTCAATATATCACATAGCTATCGTTGGTGGCGCTTGAGTACATTAAATTACGCACTTTAAACTTTTTGAAACAAAATGTAAAAACTATAGCAATTAACTAGCTACAGAAATATATAGCCATTAAATGAGGCGTAGCTTTACAATAATTAAATAAAAATTGCTTAATAGTTTTATTTGGTGCACAGCGCAACTAGACTAGTATTGGAATTCTATCAAGGCAGATCGCTTCCCTTGAAATGGCATGTAAAATAAAGTATACGATCTTCGGTAACTTCTTGCTTCTGTCGGGTCTGCTGTTGCTGATGCTAAACAACAACTTTAATGTGAGAATGAAGTACGTATCTGTAGAAAATTTTAATATATTTAATTTGCAGAATGGGATTGTCTTTAAATTGACAAATGCCGTCTGTGAATCCTATAACAAGTCCTGGGTGGAAATAAATCAATGTCGTCTGAAGGCCGTGCAGCGAAACAAGGCGATCCTAAACATTAACCTTTATATCTTTTATCCTGCGTACGATATCAAGACAAGAGCGCAGATTCTGACAAAGGCCAATGGCTACAAGCCTTGGCTTTTTGATGTCACAGTCGATGCCTGCCAGTTTATGCGAAAAAAAAACAACCCTACTTTCAAATTGATTTATGATAACTATAAAAATTTTACAACATTTAATCATACGTGTCCCTATCATGTAAGTACAAATTAAATTAGATGTGGCTTTCGATTAATTTAGTACAAATTTACAGGGCAATTTAACTCTAAAGGATTATTATCCCACAGTCGAAAAGCGTATATTGTTTCCAACAGCCGACTATTTAGCTATTCTAACCTTTCTATTTCATAAACAGAAAGCTTTTGTAGTAAAGGTTTACTTTTCAATTGTTGAAGATTTATTATAGATACTTTGTTCATAAATTGGAACTTTCTAAAATAAATGCAATAATAAAACAAGTAAGAGGTTCTAGTCGGGAGGTCCCGACTAGTGGATACTCTGAACCCTCTTCTTCCAACACCAAATGCAGCTCGCGCTACGCGCTCGTTTGATTTAGTAGTAATAAAGAAAAATGAAAATAAAAAGAAAAAAATTGTTCCCTTGGCAGGGTTCGAACTCGCAACTAACCGGACCACTTACCGCTGCCTCTACTCAAGGGCCACACCAATAATTGCGCTTTAATGAGAAAAACCAAATAAAATAGCAGCGCAGAAAACAATACAATCGCAATTGCAATGCTGTTGATAGAATTCAAAGCAAACACGCATCAATGTGTGTGTGTACATGTATACAGAAATTTTTGGAATTTGCGCAGCAGCTATGCTGCTAACACGTGCGCACATAACTTTTGTATTTCTTAACCGATCTTAATGAAATTTTCGACAGTACATCTTATTGTTGAATAGAATAAAGAATATTTGTGTATTCTCAAAAATTCTATTGCAAATAAATTGTGGCTTAAATTGATGGGCAATACAAGTTGGATAATTAACTTGATTTATTGTTTTGAGGTGGTAGCGGGGAGGTGGCGATAGCTTAAAAAAGGAAGGATACTTGATATATATATACTATTATAGAAGCTACGTGTCAAGTTTGGTGACTATAG